AGCCCATGATGCTGAGTATGATAGAGCTCTTCATCATTATCAAACCCAGAAACGTCAGTGGGAGGCTTATGTCGCCGGAAGCGTCGGCCTTTTCGATCCGTACGCCCACCAAAACATCGTCGTCCTCTTCAGTCTTGTCTGCACTACAACGTCAATTCCCTGCTCTGGTCCAGATCTTCTTGCGCTCGAGTACTACAACGAGCATGGCGGTGACCCGATATTCGAGCCAGACTGTACTTTAGGACAGTATGTCGAGGATATTTGTCTACATGCAAATGCAGTATGTACGGCAAATGGTTGCGAGAAGCGAATGTTTGAGCACCACCGTCAGTATGTGCATGGTGAAGCCCAGATAAGCGTTTTCACCCAGCCCTACCCCTCGAAACTGCGAGGTCTCCAAGACACAATCTTAATGTGGAGTTGTTGCAAGATCTGTGGTAATGAGACTCAGGTCTTTCCGATGTCGGAAAGTACTTGGAAATACTCATTTGGGAAGTATTTGGAACTCTCCTTCTGGAGCAAGAACCTCCATGCTCGAGCGGGCGTTTGCCCTCATGACTTACAGCGTGACCACCTTCGCTTTTTTGGCTTCAAAGACGTTGCTATACGAATCCACTACGACAGCATCAACTTGCTTGAGATAATTGTTCCTAGAACTCGGGTTACATGGAAAGTGGACAATGACTTGAAACTCAGAAACGAGGTGTATCAGCGAATGGAGCATCGCATCACCCGGTTCATGGTTTCAGTCAAGGCGCGGCTGAAGGGGATCAGTGTTGAGAGTGTTATCCCTAAGCAAGCCGAAGATTGCAAAACACAGATAGAGCATCTGAGTAAGAAGGCCAACGAGGATCACATCCTCTTGATCAAACAGCTACAGGAAAAATACACCAACTCGCGATACTGGGAAGTAATCCCTCTCAATGAAGTGCTCCGCTCCGTTCAGGAGAAAGTCGTCGAATGGGATGCTGCCTTCGCTGAATTTGAGAAGAATTTCTTCCCCTCGGAAAAAGATATCAAACGATTGGCTACTCTGCAGCTGAAGAAAATCTTCCTGGACAAGGATGTGTCGGTGATCCCCGAAGAGCCTCCTACCACACCAAATGAGGCCGACAATGAAATCATCGAAATGCCGGAGCGGATGCGACTAACGCGCCGTATGACCCTTTCCCCGGAGAAGGCCCAGGATGTCCTAGTATCTGTTGTCGAAGAGCATTCGGGGGAGAAAGATGTTGCAGGAAGCCAGGAGAGTGATGCCATCAAGTCCGATGATGTCGGCTCTGCAACTCTCTCTTCCAGTTCAGGGAGCTCGCAGTTTTCACCCCCGCAGGCTGAGATTGCGGCCGAAAAAGAGGTGCAGCATCTGGATCTCGCAACACCTTTGAATCACTCTGAGCATCCGGTCCTAGCCCCGCCCACCACGAAGGCAATAGACAGTCAGGAGCCCCGGGAGCCCTCGGAGCCACTGGAGCCATCAGAGCCAAAGGCTACCTCTACTGATTCTGATGTGAACCCGACGGAACCCCCTCCTGAGGAGCCAAGTGTTCGTCAGAGAAAGAAAAGCGATGAAATTGAAAGAACCGCAACTCCAAGTCGTTTCCCATCTGCTATTCCCCGACTTGCCGAAGCTACTTTGCGACGCAGTGGAAAGTCTACATCTCCACCATTATTTCGGGCTCAAACGCAACCTGCTCCTTTCCACAGGGACCTCGGAAATGATACAACCCCAATAAAGGGCATGAAAATCGCCTTTGGCAGATTGACACCGTCTGATGGAGCTCCAAGTCCTCCGCTGGACTCCAGGTCAAGGTCTTCGGACAACAAGAAGCTCTCGGAACGTTTCAATCTGGCCCTCCGAAGTGGAAGAATGACACCAGGCTCATCTCTCATACCGCGTTCTATCCCGACCCGAAAGAATACCCGAGTCTCGAACCTGGCTAAACACTTCGAACAGTTGAGCCGTGAGTTTGAAAAGGAACGGCAACGAGAAAGAGCGCGACGAGCTGCCAAAGGTACTCATTCTCGCGCAATCCCAATAGCTTCCTCGAAACCAATCGTCGAGGTATACAAGAATGTCAGGGAAGCAGTTGAAGAACGGGAGCCTTCTGGCGAAGGGGAAGATTTCATACCCCCAGCATCACGCCTCCCGCCGGACCAGTCCGGCAGAAACAGCGAAGATATGCCGAGGCGGGATTCTGAGGAAGAGAGCAGGCAGGAGGATATTTCACAGGAACCTTCTGCAGCTAAGGAAGAAAAGGAGGGCGCTAGCCCGGAGGACGAAAATGTCTTATCTGAGGTCGAAGGTGAGGAACACAGTGATGAAGACCGAGACGACCTGCAAAGACTAGACTCGAATGATGAGTTGAAGATGTCGCCTGAAGACGAGTCGATGGACCTGAAAGAATTCCCCAAGCATGAGAGGAGTACGCTATTGAAGCTGCTGACCAACTTCTGGTCAGAGCGTTCTGCCAGCGGTTGGGCACCTCTAGATTATCCGCTTACCATGTCCGATCACGTTTTTGCGGATTGCGACATAATCGTGCGGGAGGACGAACCAAGCTCCCTGATCGCGTTCGCGCTGGACTCCAGCGACTACAAGGAGAAATTAGAAGCCATCCAAAGGCGCTACGAAGAGCCTGACGAGAAGGACACGTATGAAGAGGATGGCAACGATACTTTGGACGAGACCCGGGTCGAACATGCACTCTTGAGGTCAACAGGTACACATCTGAAGTATCAATTCCAGGAAGGTCAAGCGAAAATGCTGTGCAAGGTATTTTATGCGGAGCAGTTTGATGCCTTACGGAAGAAATGTGGAGTCGCAGAGCGGATTGTAGAATCGCTCTCTCGATGTGCCAAATGGGACTCCAAGGGAGGAAAGACCAAATCCCTATTCTTGAAGACTCTCGACGATCGCTTCATTCTCAAATCGCTGTCGCCCATTGAAACACAGGCATTCCTGAAATTCGCCCCAGCGTATTTCCAGATTATGTCCGAGGCACTGTTCCATGAGCTGCCGTCTGCAATTGCGAAGATGTTTGGTTTCTACCAAGTGATCATCAAGAACCCCGCTACAGGGACAGAGTTTAACTGGTTCCTCCTGTTGATGGAGAACTTGTTCTACGATCGTGTTCCTACTCGGATTTTCGATTTGAAGGGCTCCATGCGGAATCGCAAAGTCCAGAGTACGGGAGAACGCAACGAGGTTTTGCTAGATGAGAACATGGTGGACTTCATCTACGAAACACCGTTATTTGCGCGGGAGCATTCAAAGAAGCTTCTGAGCCAGAGCGTTTGGAATGATACCTTGTTCCTGGGACGCCAGAACGTGATGGATTACTCGCTTATGATCGCTATCGACGAGAGTCGTTCAGAGCTAGTGGTTGGCGTGATCGATTGCATCCGCACATACACCTGGGATAAGAAACTAGAATCCTGGATCAAAGATCGTGGATTTGCTGGTGGTGGAAAGAACAGACCTACCGTCACCAGTCCAAAGGAGTACAAGAGTCGATTTAGGGAGGCGATGGCGCGATACGTGCTCCAGGCCCCAAGGTATGTTCCCGAAACCTCACATTCTCAAAACCGCAGCATTTACTGACATGGCCATAAGCTGTTGGCACCAATTCCAGAATTCCCAGCTCTACAGATACGCCCCAGTCGAACATTACCCGAGCCAGAGTTATGCCGCCGCGGACGCTGATGCCCTCGAGGAGATAGCAAGTTGAGCGAATCAGTTCCCCCGCGGACTGTTCTGTACTGATTAAGACCCTCATGACGGATATGACTTGACGAACACGACATGATGTACCAAAAATTCCCACTTCCAGTTCATTCATTGATGCTACATTTGCACTTGGCGTGTCGATCCAACTTTTGTGTACGGTCTTTGAGCGGTATTTTTCTTTTCTATTACTTTTGCTGTTTTCTCCTCGTTCCACAAGCATTCCTTCATTTTAATGAGTGTACGAGACCACACCACACCACCACCACCACCACCTAGACTAGGACCTACCATAATACCACACACCCAACCATAATGACCATTATGATGACACAAGCATAATAAAACATCAATCTGAAACCAAGTTCCCCAAAATCCAGCATACACAACAACTAAAAAGAATACCCGAAGTAGTAAAACATAGTAGTAATCCTTTTTCCGGAAGAACCCCGCGAGTGTCACACATCCCGAACACACCATCGGCTGAATTCGGGACGCTCGGGTTACCACTCGGGAATCTGATTTGCTGCTCCGCGGTTTTAGTTCTCCTTCAGTTCAGTTTTGGGCAAATTCGCATTTCCCACACCGTCGCGTGCGCGGATTTTCTTTCTTTTTTCTTTTTCGTGTGGCTCCTCTTTTTTCTTCTCTCCTCTTATTCCCCTTCTTCTTGCTTCTTGTGTGTGCGCCAGTTGCTGGTAAATGACTGCTCTCTATTGCTCCCAGAGGGAAGGTGTAAGGGCTAACGGGATAACCCAGCCTTATGCTCCGCGCTGTGCTACGGGATTGAACTCACGAACTCACTATTTACCATGACTAACTGATTTACTGCCAGTGGCTGCTGCTGCTAGCTTTACCACTCACGAGCTATGGGCTGGATTTCAAATGTGAAAGATTGACAAATGCCTTGCTTGCTTGCCTCGGTTGGGGGGGCTTCTTGTTCCGTTCCCCCGCACGAGAGAGGAGGACTCGATTCGAGGGGCTTTCCTCTCTCTCGCGCGCGCCCTCTCTCTCTTCTTTGCTCTTTTGATTTACTACTCAGCTCATTCTCTTCCTTCTGCAACTGTCTTCATTGACTTTTGATTGTTTACAAAACTACGTCCGATTCATGTCTTCGGACATGCCGTTTATGGCTTACATCGCTGCGATTCGTTACCGACGAATATTAACTCTTTTGCTCGACGAATGATGGATTCTCAAGTGATCCGGGTTGCATTTCCACTAACCAATCATACTGACTGACTCTCAGGATGCTTACTTTGTTCAAGACATGAGAACAACTTATTAAATTCTAGCTTTTGATCGCAGCAAAGTCCACCAAACATGGCTGGCTAACTAACGTCAAATCAAAATACATACACATTACGTTCCCAAGGTGTGTGTCTTCCCCCAGCGCATTTCGGGTTCAAAGTGAATGTGGTGGTAGACGCAAGTGCGCACTCCTGGTGCTCCTCGTCCTGCCCCGACTAACGAGTCTCGCAGTGAAGACACAAGCAGTCTACCGCGGGCAGACTACCCTGGGTCGTCGCATGGCGGCGAGACCGGTCTACGATATCCAGAGACACACCCTTGACGCTTTCTATCCAATCGCTGTCGTTACCGTGTCATCCACCAACCGGTGGCATGCCAGACTGCTTTTGCATTTACTCAGCCAGGCCAAGGTTCTCCTCAGCAGGGACCACACGAACGGTGTTGGTGTGGCCCATACCGCCGCGCCATCCCTGGACACAGACGATGTTGTCACCCTTGTTGATGATGCCGAGCTTGAGGGCGTGGTTGATACCCCACTTGAGACGGCGGTCAACATCCTCCTGCCAGACCTTGACGTTGAAGTCGGGCTTCTTCTCGGGGAAGAGGAAGGGCCAGACACCACGGTACAGGTGCGAGTACTGGATTCAACACGTTAGCACACGACTCTCGAAACAACACTAGCTTCTCGACTTACCCGGGAGGCAGCGGGGTTACGAGTGACCATGACAATGGGGCACACGGGGCGGTACTTGGAAAGGTAGCGAGCAGTTTTACCGCTGCAGATCTGTCAGCACTCATCCTACCCGACTGGATATATCCATTTGGAAGCGTCGCTACATACCTGGTAGTCAAGACGACAATGGCACCAGCGTTGAGTTCCAGACTGGCGCTAACGGCAGCCATGGCGATGGACTCGACAGTGTCGGTGGGGCGGGGAGCAAGGTTGCGGAGCTCATCGAACACGTTGAAGTGAGGGATGGCGACCTCGGCGAGCAGGCAGGTCTCGGACATCATCTTGACGGCCTCGTTGGGGTAGTTACCCTTGGCGGTCTCACCCGACAGCATGACACAGTCGGCACCGTCAAGGACGGCGTTGGCAACATCGGACACCTCAGCACGAGTGGGACGAGGGTTGTATGTCATGGACTCGAGCATCTGAGTGGCACAGATGACGGGCTTACCCTTGATGTTACACTTGGCGATCATCATCTTCTGGGCGATGAAGACCTTGGGGGCGGGGATCTCGATACCAAGGTCACCACGGGCAACCATGACACCGTCAGTCTCCTCGAGGATCTCGTCGAAGTTGTTGACACCCTGCTGGTTCTCAATCTTGGCAATGATCTGGATCTCCTTGCCCTCCTCACCCAGAACCTCACGGATGTGGCGGATGTCGCTACCGCGGCGGATGAAAGAAGCGAAGACCATGTCGACCTTGTTCTTAACACCGAACTTGAGATCGGCAATATCCTTCTCGGAAAGGGCGGGGAGGTCAACGTCAGTGCCGGGCAAGTTAACACCCTTGCGGGAAGAGATGTTGCCGTTGTTCAAGCAGCGGACGCGGATGGTCTTGTCGTCTACGACTTCGATGACCTCGAAGGAAAGGATACCGTCATCAACATAGATGAGCTTGCCAGGAGAGATCACCTTAGTGATGTTCTTGTAGTCCAGGTACCTACAAGACGACTGGTTAGCGGAGTCCGTGCACAGACAAGTCTGGGGCTGGTCTCCCGATCCACTTGCAGTGGTCGGAAGAACACGGGGAGGAGCCTTACATGTTCTTGTCGTCGGAGGCGGTGGCATATTGATCATCGGTGGTGATGTTGAGCTCGTGGCCCTGCTTGATAGGGATATCCTTATCATCGGGGGTGTTTCCGGTACGGATCTCGGGACCTTTCTACGGAGGAGTCAATTTGGGGATCGCGACCGGCCAAGGGACCGGAGAACTTACGGTATCGAGAGCAATGGCGAGAGGACGTCCGACCTGGGTCTTGGCGGCCTCACGGGCGTTGTCGATAACAGATTGGTGGTACTGTGGCGGGTCAACATACTGTCATGTGCCAATGCACGGATGGGGACCGTTCTTACCTCATAGGAACCGTGGGAGAAGTTCATGCGAACAACGTTAAGACCGGCTGCAAGCTAGTCAGCTGATTGATACCTTCCAGAGTGAATAGGTTTTATCGGTCGTACCAGTGCGGAGAGAGTTGATCTTCTCCACGGAGTTGGTCTTGGGGCCTAAAGAAAAATCGGAGGTTAGCTTGGATGAGGTCAAGTGCGGGGTGCGAGGTCTTCATGAAGATGGATGACAATCGCGACGACACAACTGGCAGAAACGTACCGATGGTGCCGATGATGGAGGTGCGGCGGAAGTTCTTGGAGGGCACCATCTCAGTGTTGAGCTTGGAGTGCCACTCCAACTTCATGCGGTTGCTCAGGTGGTCGAGGGAAGAGCTGGCGGCCATCTTGACGGATGATTGATCTCTACTGAACTAACAGGAAAGACAGAAGAGAAAGGGATTGATGGAAGATGGGAAGAGAGAATGGAGAGAGAAAGAAGAGAGGAAAGAGGAGAAGAGGGAGAGATAATAGGGAAGGAAAAGACGGGGCCGGTGAGCGAGAGAAGAGAGAGATGGTGGACTAGAGGAGGGGTGCCCGGGAAGGAAAAATGTTGGCGGCGGTGATTGGCTGGATCGGCCCTTTTTGGTGGGATTCCTGCTTTGGGACACTTTTTTCTGTCGGTCGGTTCCCCGCGGGTTGAGAGAGCAAGAGCAATCAGTACTTACTCCCGTACTTAGTTTAGTTGTGCCTCCTGCTACGGAGTAGTTACAATCACACTTCTCATCGCCTACCTAATTCCCATTATTAATGACTTTTTCCCTCCCCGGCACTATCGCTGGGTATCAAAACTCAATAATTTGCTTCGTGATCCACCTTTCACTGCTTTTGCTTCTATTCTTTGATCGGTAGATATACCCTGCTGCCTCTGTCCGCGCTTTTCACTGGTCAGCCAAGGGTTTCCGCCCAGCGATCAGCAGCAGCTTTTTGTCCACTTCATCCTCAGGCACCTGCTTCCGCGCATCTCAGGCATTCATACGCCGCATGCAATATTAATTGGTTGGGAAGATCCAAAAGCAATTCAAGCCCAAGCCACAATCTGGCAGATACACCCACACAACATTCCCCTACTATCTATCTAAGTATCTACCTATCTACAACAAACTTTGTCAAAAGTAGAAATCTGGCAGGACCACATGATCCCCCTTCCTCACTGTCCAGTTGACCCCACATGGTCGCGGATCCATCCTCTCCTAGCGAGGTGGATTTAATGTTCTTTGTCGGTGCTGAATTTTCTCTCCCTCCTCGCAGAAAAAAAAAGGCGCCTATTTTCCCCTTTCCCCTTCGCAAGAACTATTTCCCTGACTCCATCGGAACCCATAAGGCTGAATTTTGCTCTGGTCGGATGGACCCAGTTGCCAGTTATGGAGAAGCTGTCTCATTTTTTTTTTTTTTTACCTGCTCTTTTATGGGTAAGCAATTTTACTTAAGGTAGTAGATAATTTACTCGGAGGTTTTCTCTTCCTGTTGGAGGTTCTTAACTCCGAAGGTGTGCCGATTCCTCTATTTGTCTTGGAGATAAATACTGTTAGTTGAATTAGGATGGGAGATAGTAGTAGCAGCACCTTAACCACATATATCCGAACTGAAGCTTGGTAGTTATCTTGGCCTATTATGCTCAATATAATTATGTAAGTCGGTCATATGAAACATTCATGGTTGTTGCATTGATATTCCTTATTTTCTGTAATTGGACACCCCCAAGGTAGACAGCAAGTAGTAGTAAAGGTACTCACTACCAACATCACTCATACCCTCACCACCACCGCACAAGTACCTTCTACCTACGAAAATATATGAATAACGAATCCCGATCTACACCTACCTACTTCGCACCTGATACTATCACCACAATCACCCCGTCCCGACTCAGCCCCCGGTGAATGAATGCTATGGATAATCTGCAATATGCATGCTAGGCCATTCCACTCCGTAACTACAGAGCCCGCCGTCGGCTCGGCACACTTCCTCTTACAAGGATAACTCTATACTTAGCACAGATACATACTTAATATGATATAGTCTGCAGAGCCAAGCCCCGGTTATCTTCATTCATTCCCCTTCTCGGTAGTGTTTCATCCTGCATCCACCCGCTCAGCTACTATTTGCAAAGTACTGCCGACTTGGCGGTGATGTGATTGCGTACTCTCTACGGAGTAGTTTTGTTTGGTTTTGTTTAGATTGGTTTCGGACTTCGGAGAATGAATGAATAAATGCATGCTGATCTACTTAGTATTGATGTTTGTTTGCTCAGATTTGCTTTTTGGGTTGAGTTGGTTTAATTGTTGGGGAATGATATAAATGGGAGTGTGGGTAGTATTTATGATCCATCCTATCTCTAGATTCATTCCGGAGTACGTAGTACTATTTATGAAGTGGTAGAATACTCCATACATAAGTAGTAAATAGATAGGCAGACACTGCCCCTCCATACTTTACCCTCTACTATGAGCAGCAGTAACAGTGGTCGCTCGGCTCGGCTAGACAACTTACTAACCACACCAGCCACTCCCTCAAACCCAGCCACCCAATTGACCCATGACCACCAACCCAGCCTCGCTCACCGCCTCGCACCAAATCAGTCGCCCACGTCATGTGAAAGCCACGTGAACTGGATGACTTCCTCCGTGGGGTGACCTGATACCTACCTACCTATCTTTCTTTTTTTCTCTATTGCCCACTCACAAAGAAAAACCCCACGCTCATAACCTCTACTATTGCTATTGTTACAATTCGCTGCTGCGAAGCACTCAACCTGTCAGATTATCATCCCCAAATCTTCCTGTCATCATGGTATGTCACGTACCCAAACTCGACCGGACCGGATATGGATGGATAGGGAACAAGAAGAAATGGGATGGGATATACTAATATTTATGGGTGCATTCAGCTCGGACGTCTCAGCCACTACGCATTCGATGCGGTTCTTAGTACGTACACCCTTATCCTATCTTCTCTTGTTGTTAAGTTGGGGTTTGGATTTGAAAGCTGACCTATTTCGCAATCTAGTCTCTGCCTTCCTGGCTGGCGTGAAGCGCTCGACTGGATTAACGTAAATACTACACCTCATGCTCTCTTTTTCTTTTTCGATCACTGCGCTATCTTATCCACCCTATCTGTGACGGCCAGTAAGCTAATCAGTTCATCCCGCGCACATCCCCCAAACCCTGGGGGGCATCGCGTGGGGTCTTCCACAGCCCCAGTCTCAACTCCGACAAAATCACCGATAACAAGGACTTCAAGAAGTGGATCGATAACTACCTGGGTGTTGGCGAGTGGGTGATGGATCAGTCTGTGGCTGTGTTGGGTTCCACGAGCTACTTCGAGCGCAAGCGGTAGATTTATCACTGCTACTGATACATCTTAAATACCGATCGCATCGCTTTTCCTGAGTCGGAGTCGCCGGTCGGCTTACGAATGGGTTGAATGGATCCCTGATGGGGTGGGCATCTATGTGTGATTTGCCTGGGTTGGGCGAGTACACTACTATGTGAGGCTGGGGGTTTCTGGCTGGAGGAGAGATTGCGATATAAGGCAAGAAAGGGATTAAAGGGTATGAACCCCGTCGCGGTTGAGGGTATGGCTGCGATGGGTCGTTGCTCACGATTGATGATGGCATTTCGGCTCGTGTTCGAGTAGCGCAAGTCATGGCGTTGGGTATTTTGCGTTGACTGTATACCTTGATCCATGCTCCAATGGCAGCTCCCTTTGGAACATTTGCATCTCTTCTCGATATGCCTGTTTGTACATAGGTTCCCTGTTGAGGGATAACTCATCTGTATCTCTGTTCTCCGCTGTTTAGCTAACAACGGCCATGTTGTGACCGGACTACCCATCCAGGTTGCTTCCGGTATTTTCCTATCCACCAGTACAGTCACCGTGTGCAGGTCACTGACTAGCCTTGGAGTTATACAAGAGTATCCATTCTCAGGAGTCCAGTTCATTTCAATGTGGTAACCTCCGCAGGACCCGCCCTTGGACCGTAAGTGTGGTCTCGCAATAACTGATGCGCCCAGAGTGAAAGATTGATTGTCCCATGCAAGCATGTGCAGGTCTATCATAGCACGTATGTGCTCGCTAACAGGATAACGTCAAGAGCGTCCATGCATGTAAAAGCCTAATCGCCAAAAAAGAGCTAGGGTATGCTCTGGAAGCACCGTAGGGTATGTAGTGAGTGACGTGATTCGTTCAATCGTAACTTTCGTACTATGTAATCATTAAACCTATGTCCGGAGTAATGCATCGATGTCCAGACGACGGTAATAGGAGATATGACCCATGGTTTCCCAATAGTGTGCTACGCACTCTGACGAAATCAGAATAAGTTGGGATGAAATAAACGTATCTAAGAGGAATATTAGCATGCATAGCGAAAAGCTGGGCATTTTCAAATCAAACTTACCATCTCTGAAACCGAGGCCCGCTACATGACCTTTGCTCCGTACTATACGTGCTCCCTGGAAGAGAGCTTCCTCCGCAATGCGGACAAATCCTCCGGGGCCAATGTCATCTGCTGAGAAAGATATTTCCCCACGAGGGACGTTAGGGTCTCCAGTGAGCTTGATGGCCTCAAGGCTGCATCGCTCTTCTCCGTGATCACGTTGTAGGAAAAGCAAAAATTCGCATCCATGTGCCGAGTAGTCTCCAACCCAGATGCCTTGGTATGGTTTCTTGTCTGTAGGTGTATACAGCTCGGGGTCAAGTGTAGCATAAGTCGACAGCGTCTCGCTCCGCCCAGCGGTGAAGATCGGCATACCCAATCGGAAGTGTGCCCATCTTCTAATTCGAAACGCATGCTCGGAAATTTTGTCCAGCTGTGGAGGGTGGTGTTCCCACTCCGGATCAACTTCACCACGATAGACGCGGTGTTTAGTTGGAATGGTTTTAGGAGGCCATTGTTGGTTCGCCACAAGATCAGACGTTATTCGGGCGGAGCAGAGCGAAAATGAGTTGAAGACATGCTGCGTCTCGAGAGGCATAGGCATGCGGGTCTCACCGCGCAAATATAACGGCCGTCCCTCGTGATGGTTTTTCAGGAGCAAGACTGGATCATCTAGCCAAAGACTGACCTTAGGATTGAACGTTTGGATTATAACATCTGGATTCCAGTCCCAGAGTTGGAACTGGTGCGAGCGACGTTCTGCGATGACCCGGTAAGCCTCTATGACACCCCGTCGGTGATCGTAACGGGCGAGGATCAAATTTCCCGTGTGCTCGGTGTCCGAAAACCAGATCTTGTTGCGAGGAATGAACCAACAGGGATGATGGGCGATGTAGAGACTGCGAAAGGAGTCAAAGACACCTGTTGTGTGTATGGGTTCGGGAAGATTGGAGTTGATGATATTGGCCCATAAAAGTTCGTTCGTCGCATGCTCAGCGAAAGTGCGGCAGGTAGATGACAGGCGAGCGAGATCTTGAGCCGATAGAAAAGACAATATATGCTGGACTAGCTCGGGAGGAAGGTCTAAAAATGAAGCGCTGGTTTCTCGGGGATTGTTGGAAGTTGTTTCCGATAAAGACGCCTGGGGATCGTCGTCCATCTCCACGGGTGCCTGGTTCCGTTCCTCCCAGGCCGGCTGATTGACAAGCGCAGCAGCCATCACGAGTCTCTTGGATGGAGTGAAAGCCGAGAAGCCAAGGGTGACAGGTGCAGCAGCAGATGATCTGCCAGATAGCGCTCGGAATAATTGAGTTGGCAGTGAGCACAAGAGCAGGGGAGATAAAGTA